ATCATCATCATCATCATCATCATCATCATCATCATCATCATCATCATCATCATTATCATCATCACCAGAACTGAGGTTATCGCCATCTTCGCTCTCATCATTTCATTCTCAGGCCGGAAATTTCCACTCGCACATACTATTATTATTTGTGTCACGACGTGGTGGAATCAGGCGCTCGTCAATTTTTAGGCATGTGGGGTTATGGGTATCATCTTAAAGCTTGTTCATTTGCCTTCTTTTTGGTGAAAAAAATACTCGTCTATCTTGAACAGAAGTAGAGATATTTGTGATTGAGTAGGAAACTTTTGTGAGAAAATGGCTGCCAAGGTTTGGTAAGTTCCATAGCCTGAGAGTCCTTGGATACTGAAAATGTTCATTTTGTATGCCTTTACTCAATGTCTTTAAGTAATAAAAAAATCCTCACAAAAATGTGTTGTTAAATGGACTTATAAGGTGTTGAGCTACAAAAACAGAAAGAAAATCAGAACAAAAATTGCCCATCGGTCAAAAAAAAAGAGCTGATTTTTTAAATTTAATTCTTTTAACGAGCGCCAGACTTCACCACGATGCCTTACATTAATTTATGTCTTCTTTTTCAAGGGATCGGATCTTCAAGTTTGACATTTGCAAGCTGGACAAGCTTCAGGGCCCAATAGACGGTGAGGTTGTCGGTTAAACACTATGCAGACAGCCACATTATACGCTCTCAACTTGGGGGGAAAATATAGTCTACCACACCGATACTGGCAACGGATGTTCGATGGTCAAGATCTGTCTGTCGTTTTCAATTCTTTCACATTACATCTGTGTTAAGAGATAAAAGAATTTCAAACCTCATCTGTATCTTCAGAGAGATTTTTTAAAAGTATTAATGTCGTTCATTAAAAGTTTGGAATTTTCCCTTTGCGACAATAGAGATGTGTTGGTTTTTTATATTTTGATAGTTTTTTCGTATTTTTGTATCCCAACGGCTAGGACATCTTTAGTATAAGTATCTATCTTGCTGTTGTTGCTTTTGATGATGTTTGCTGCTGTTATAGTCGTTGCCATCGATGTCTTCGTCAGTTTATCGGTTCGTTGAGATGATTGACGTGTGGGATTTTTTGTATCAACGTTCGCATTAGATGGAGGTTGTATTACGAATGTTTTTGTTTTTGTTTGTTTGAGGTATTTTAAAAAAAAAATTTTTTTTTTGGGGGGGGGGCGTTGTTCTTTTGCTTTTGTTTGTTTTGTGGGGGGGGGGGGTTTGAAACCTGCCCAATTCTATCATCTGGGGGGCAAAGGAGAGCATTGCTAGAGAACAGGAAAGGAGGAGAAAGGAAGACAATTTTAGAGAAGAATTTTTTTTCCGTCGCTACCTGGATTCGATCCCGGGACCTCTGAATGAGAGGACAACCCCTTAACCTCTAGGCCACGAGAGCCCCCCTCCAAAGTATAGTCACACGGTGAGAGGAGGAAAATATGGATGTTTCCCGTCCCACAGGAGAGCCTGAGTTGACCCTCCGTAGGCGATACAATAGAAACGAGGTTAATAAACAATTCGAAACATTGACAACGACAATGACAATCTTTATTCATCTCGCAGGGAGAAATTTTTCTTGGTCGTTAACAATGGCAGTAGACGTTACAAAGGTTAAGTACATTCACGTATACGCACACAAGACAGGATATTAGTAAATACATGTCAGCGCAAAGTCAAGGCACCGGAAATAGCAGTTCACAAGAGTGTGACAAACATACAAAACAGGTAGCGGAAATATGACGATAGTAAGGATGAGGAGAGAAAAAGCAGCAGTTCCCCCTATGTTGTTCCGGCACAGTATGAGCATGACATTGATAAATCAGTCCTCTTGCAATTCTACTCTGCATAAGAACATTTTAATACCCCCCCCCCCTTTTGGTAATGGCCGAAAGACACTCAAGTCAGTGGCACTGCCCTGGGGAGGGGAGGGGGGACAGTAAAGCTTGGTATTACAAACATTATAATGCTCTTTTAAAAATCTTTTTTGGTTAAAAACTCCATGGCGATGCTGTCATTCTGATAGATGAATACAAAGTTGTAACCGCAGTTTGGGATGAAAGTCTGAGCAGTTTCGAGATTTGAGTATCCAGAAAAGGAGGGAAAAAGAGGAGGGCTGCTATCTTTCATCAATTTTTCTTATCGTGCCCAATGTTCTCAATTGGTCGCTTTTAATAAGGACAAGCGGGCTAACCCAGGTTCCCGGGATTTCCAGAAATCTTGACCTATGAGTACACCAAAAGTGGGCATTGCCATACCTATAGGGGACGTTTTGTCTCATTGGTGTGTATATTTGTTTGGTTATAGAGAAAACTCCCCTTGTCCTTTAAAGAAACTGAACAAGGGTCCAAAAACGTTTCCTTCGATTTTCTCAAAACAGCATTTTTCGGGATAGTCCCCTTGTGCTTAAAAGCTACCAATTATCTTCTGTCAGCCAGGCTCTTGTCAGTCAAAAACTTTGGGAGTGTGGTATAATTTGCTGTCACCAAATAGAGAACAAATATATAGCGGCATTTTATAGTGTATGTACCTGCTCGACAGCAAGCTCTCTGCTATTATTACCCCAGCAGGCCCTAAGATACTCGTAAACATTCTCAACTTCCCAGGAAGCATACTACATTTCATGGGAGAAGTAGATTAAGCTCTCAAACACAAACAAACTGACAAGTTCTTTCGCCGTCTATAGGCGGGTACTGTACTCATTCCCACCTGGACGAATGAGGAAAATTCGTGTAGAGTGCCTTTACCAAGAACACAAAGTCAAGCCCGTGGTGAGGTTTGAACCCACGACCTTTCGGTTGCGAGCCTGAGAGAAGACCAAAGTGGAAAGTTTTCCAGCAGGCAGCAATTCTCATTGTCATCAGACAGGCCGCTGAGAGTGAGCCGCCCCCACGTGCTCCAGTGGTGAGTGGTAGCGCTGACTGAGTGTGCTGTGTGTGCTGGTGCTGCTTTGAGACTCGAGCTGTGCCCGTCTGGGCCTTGTCAAGGTAGATAAGTCCCAGGACTGAGCCCTCTCACATCTACCGAGAGACGCTGTCTTTCCCCCTCTCTCTCTCTCACTTTCTTTCTCTCTCTCTCTCTCTCTCTCTCTCTCTCTCTCTCTTTCTCTCTCTCTCTTTCTTTCTCTCT